CCGGCCCCGGCCCCTCGTGCCGGCGGTCCCCAGGGCCTCGCGGGAGCCTCTGCGTGTCCCCCCGCGGGCTGGTCACTCCCGGGGCATCTCCTCCCTCCCCTCCTCCTGCACCGAGGATATGCCGAAGTGTTCTCCAGAGCTCCTGATCTCAGGAGAGACTGGTGGACAGGACAGGGGGACAACACATGGGAAGGGCATCCTGGTCCAGCTAGGAGCCCCCGGTGGCACTGGAGATGTGTAGGGGGTGCATGTGCACCCCCGGAAATTGGTGGTGCACCCCCTGTGATTGACTGCTGCCAGCAGCACCTGCTCATGGTCACCACTTGCCACACTCCCCTTGCTAAAGACAGTGCTGGTGGCATCTGAGCAGTCTCCAATCGCCGCTGGCCACCAATGTCTCTGGCGGCATCTGCGGGTGGTCACCCTTCTGCTGCTGCCACGGTGGCCACTGCCTGTGGGAGCTCCCTGTTTGCCGCTGTCAAAGCTGACCGCCACCACCATCTGCAGATGGTCATCGTGCCCCCCGCAGTTCCCCGGGGGCATGCGTCCTTCATGCCCAGTGGTGGAGGCAGGGAGTTCTTAGCACACACACAGGAAGGCTGTGTGGAAAAAGGTGAAGCACTGTGTGATAAGCTGATGGAGAGGTAGACAAACCTGGCAGTCCCAAAGGAATGAAACAGGAAGCCATGCAGGGCTTATCGAAGGAAAGGAAGCCAAGAGTAACAGAGAAAGAAGCTTCAACTTGGTACCAGGAACTGGAGCAAGTGGAAGTACTGGTATTGGCATTGTTTCCTACTCCTTGGGCATGTCTACACATGCATTAATGCCCAGTAGGTGCTGTGCATTAAGTTTAGTACCTGAAACAACAGGCACTAACTGAATGCTCTGTAAGTGGTGCTGCTGCATGCCTTTCTAGTGATACTAATGTAATGCACAGTCGGCACTAGCGCAATAGCACAGCTTTTGACGTGATGCTCTAATGTGCAGTAGAATTAGTCTACTGTGCATTTAGCATCTTGTGTAGACATGTCCCTTGTGTTCTTGTAGAAAGAATTAATCTGGGCTATAAACTCCTTGACCAAAGTGGCAGCTGATTGCTCCAAGATGGAGTTGAAACAAATGTTTCAGACTGCCTAAGATGCAAGGTACCAGAATCAAGGGCTAAATACAATGCAGGGCTTTGAGGCCTAAAACACTTAAGTAGAATTAAGGTGCCTGCATCCAAAATTATAATCTAAACCACCCCAAGTCGCTGCCAGCTTGAAAGCTTCCTAGAAACCAAGAGTTCCATTACCCAGAACTGCCCCACTCCAAACAGCTTGGTGCATGTCTCTTGCCTAAGCATGGTAATAGATCCAGAAGGAGAGCTGCTGCTACCTAAGTTCCCCGTGGGGCATGATCTAAGTATGATTATAGCAAGTAGGGGGGAAGTTGGATCATACTCATAGTAACAGACTTTCTGCAAAAACCAGTTGTGGTTACTTTCTTTTAAGACAGAGCTGTATAGGGGTGGGGGTGTGTGCATGTGTGTGCATGTGTGTAGACCGTTTGTATCCTAGAATTGAGCACTCTCACCAGGAAGGAGTAAATCTGGTTTTAGTTCCTTCCTCAGCCTGAGGGGGTTCAAACTGTTAGATCCCAGGAGTGTGCTCTAGTGACCAGGCTGCTGGGTCAGAGGAAAAATTTCCACCCCTCCTATGGACATTGTGTCACTGCCCAGATTCGTTTGGCAGGAGCTAGCCCAAGAGGAAGTATGATTTTTGTAGCCTATTGCTCAGGTAACCCAGCAAAGCAGGGGAGTTTTAGATTTCTGAGTCATTGCATTTTACAATAAATAGCCATTGGTTAAAATAAAACAAAATGCAATAGGGACCAGAACTCTGGCCTCTCCCATCAGAGAAGCACTCTAATGATTAAGCCATATAAACCCTTTGAACATTTCTTTCATTCACTCTCTCTTTGGTTCACCACATCTTGAATTCCTTCCTGTACCCTGACGTCTCTTTAACAGGAAGGATGGAGGGTACCCCTACAGAAAGGATGGAAAGATGGCTAGGGCAGTTTCCTAGGAGGAAGGATATAACAATTTGAGCCCTTTTGACTGTGGATGGAACTGAATTCAGATTTTCCACCCCATGGGGAAATACTCTAGACCTTGAACTTAAACAAAAGTTCAGTGTTTTGAACTTTAAAAAGTGGATACTATCCTCTCTTCCTCCTTCAGCTACTTGAAAAGAAAGTCACGAGCTGAAAAGAAACATGTGCTTACCTTAAATGGAGATTTCCAATCTGAACTCTGTGGACAGAGACACCTTCCCACAGCCTTGTGCCAGGCACTGAAGTTCTGGCGAAGAACGAGGGTTAGAAAAGTGGTTCTCAATCTTTTTAGACACCAGGCACCACTCGTTAGACTCATGGCACTCCTTGGAAAATGCCAGCTCTTAGCTTCACTTGGTTTTTGACCATAGAAAAATAACAGTAATTTTTTCTGTTGCAGACAACTCAGGAAGAGAACAGGTGAGAATGTTTCTGACACTATGGATTCCTATTTTGAAATCTCTGAGTTTATCTTGTGAATCGTGTGCTGTGACACCTTTGTTGAGAGCTACTGGATTAGGTGCACCTCTCTGCTCTGCATTTATTGGCTGACTCTAGGTGGCTTATTCCTCAGAATGCAGGGTGGCATGGTTCCTACTCTAAGTTGCTAATTCTCACCATGTACATTATAGAATGCATAAGTACCTAAAATAGGTCTTTGGATTCCAATCTAGGGGAAGCCAGGTGCCTAGAAGTGAAGCATTGCAGTGCCTTATGTGTAGACAGCAAGGTCATTTATAGGATTCAGAACTAAGCTAGAATCTCAGTTTACCTAGTAAGATAAATTTCTAGCTTTGACAGGAGTGAAGAAAGCTTGAAAAATAAGCTGAGTGTAATCTGATCTTCAATACCTGTCTCCCTGAAGACAGCTTGGAACAGTAACTTTGAAAGGGATGAATTGTCCCATTCATTTTAGTGGGACATTAACTCCGACACCCACTGTTTTTTGGGATCTCATGCTAATCTAGCAAAGAACCCTGTGTGTGACAGAAGGAAGAGTGCAACAAGCCCCTGCAGATACTCTAGCTCAGGGATGAGCAATTATTTGGGCTGCAGGGCCCCTGAAGGAGTTTTAGTGAGCTGTTGTGGGGCAGGGGGAGAGGGGTGCAAACCTGGCCCAGTGGAGGGGGTGCTGATATGGCCTGGAGGGAGGGTGCTGACCCAGCC